TAATCGATCTTCCGACCCAGTTATCAAGTGGAACATTTGGGTAGATATTGATTTATTGCTCTAACTGTACTCTTTTGAGTTAGAATCAGTGTGATGATCCATAATTGTCCTGGAGTTTTGTTTGCTTAACACTCTGAACCAACTCTTTCCGCGGGTTCATGTGCTCTTCTTTTGGCATGATTTGATATTGTTGGGTGCTTTTTTGCATTATAGGAACTGAAGGGAATGGTACGATTCGTGAGTGGAAGAAATTAAATTCTAAAGACCTTGGAATAAGCACTTCTATGATTGCAAAACCCACAAGACAAGTGCTTAATGGACTTAAGAAAAAAGGTTGACGGTTTATCCTTAACTGTAGAGTTCTCTAATGTAAAATTTCAAAATTTTATGTAGTGTTTCATTCAGCGGTTTGATATTGGTTTGTGTTTTCTATCACATACAGGATTTGAGGTTTACCTCGTGGGAGGCTGTGTGCGGGACCTTATTTTGAAGAGGATACCAAAAGACTTTGATATCCTCACTTCTGCAGAACTTAGAGAGGTTAATATTTATTATTATTATTGGTTTTCTTTCCTTGTAGGCCTCATTTCGTGAGCTTCATTTTTCCTCTGATTTCAGAAATGATTTTTTAGTCATGATGTTTAGGTAGTTAGAACTTTCTCAAGATGTGAAATTGTTGGCAAAAGATTTCCCATCTGTCATGTGCACGTTGGGGATGATATAGTAGAGGTTTGTTTTTCAACTAGCTTCGTTTCCTTATACATTTAATAAAATAAATATAATTTTGACAAGTTTCTTTAATTCTCCTCTCATTTTCTGTTTCTTTGGTTTTCTTTTATAATGTGTTTGTGTAGGTTTCGAGTTTTAGTACCTCTGCACGCAACTCGCCTAGAAACATGGTTTCTGATTTTGGAGAAGCAAGCTGGTCAGACAACCAGGACTGTATCCGGTTTAATAATTGTTTGCAGCGTGATTTTACTATTAATGGGTATCTTGTTATCCCTTAATTGATTTCCTCTAACTTTTAAGAAGGAAAATGAAGTGAATCTCCCGTTTTGCCCCATGTATCCCCCACCGATCCGAGTTTGGAATTTCCTACAGTTGTTCCTACATCACTTCTCTTTACGTTTTTTTGTTTGTTTCTTGTCTCAGGTTGATGTTTGACCCATATGCCAAAGTTGTGTACGACTATCTGGGAGGAATAGAAGATATTAGAGAAGCTAAAGTGTGAAAGTATTCTATTAATATCTACTGTGTTATTCCAGACAATTTTTTTCAATATACATTTATTCTCATTGTGGCTTGGCGGTCATAGGTTCGGACGGTGTCTCATGCTGGGACGTCTTTTCAAGAGGACTGTGGTGAGTTTGTGAAAGAAGAAAATAATGTGGACTTGTAAGTTGTAACCCCTTAAGACCATATGTGGGTGCTAACCTGCATAAAATTTTGCAGCCCGGATTCTTCGTGCAATAAGGATTGCTGCCCGTTTAGGTTTTAGGATTTCCAAGGAGACAGCTCATTTCGTCAAGAACCTTTCCTTCCTTGTAAAAAGGCTTGACAAGGTAGGGATACTATCTTGTGCCATTCTGTTAAGAAATGTTTACTTCTGATTGATGTCAAGATATATCTTCAAATATAACTCTGTGGATTTTCTAGGGAAGAATTATGATGGAAATGAACTACATGTTAGCGTATGGATCCGCGGAAGCTTCTTTGCGATTGTTGTGGAAATTTGGGATTCTAGAAATTCTTCTTCCAATTCAGGTAAATTCCCAACCAGGTACTCGTTGTTCTCTCATTGGCTCATTTTATGTACCACGCATCCATCTAACTCTGTCTCACAGGCAGCATATTTTGTTCGAAGTGGTTTCAGAAGACGCGACAAGAGGTCTAATATGCTCCTGGTGATCCCCCCTTTTACCTGAGTTCAATCTTTTACTTGTGTTTCCACCATAAAAATATGTTGTATAAAATGTGCAGAAATGCTTGTTTGCCAATGTTACACTTGTCTATCGCTTGATATGTCTAACAAAGAACTGGTATTTTGTGGTTGATGTTTTTTTATGCAGTCTCTCTTCTCTAATTTGGATAAACTTCTGGCACCTGATAGACCTTGCCACAGCATCTTATGGTGAGATCCTCATCTAAGTTCACACTTCATAGATTATGTCTGATAAAATATTAGGGGGATGATACACAGATATGTTTTCTTCTTTATTTTTCTCTTGAATTAATCAGTGAAAACATACATATAAACAATTGGATGTAGATCCAATTTTTGTAATACCGTCTGAACCGCACACTTCATGTAAAAGTTAGACGTTGCCTTCACATTGATTAGTAAGGTTTTGATATCTAGTTGGTAGAATACATTTCCATGAATGGGCCAAAACCACTGCTCTCATCTTTTGGGTCTATGGGTTAAACATTCTCTTTCACATGGCGTTACCCTTCCAACTGCTCCAATTTCTTTTGGGACTTGACTTACAGGATAGCAATCTTGGCATTTCACAAAGCACTCACAGATCAACCTCGGGATCCTTTAGTGGTTGCTGCATTTAGCCTTGCTGTCCACAATGGCGGAGATCTATTTGAAGCTGTGAAAATCACAAGGAAAATCACTAAGCCGCACAACAGAAGCTTCTTCGAGCTAGTAGAACCACAGGATATGGACCTCAGAACCATGCTCGATGAGGTCATGGATCTTGATGCTTCTGTCAAAGATGCCTTAGGACAGATGACTGATGAATATTTTGTTTCTAAGGCAATGTCGGCCTATCCTCAAGCACCTTATTCAGATCTGGTATGTGCTTTTCCTTTTTGGGAGGCTTTCACCCTCCATTATTCTTTTCGATTAATTATTACATGGATCCATAGACTATACTTCAGTAAGGCTGCATTTTTCAGCATAGATGTTTCTATCAGATCATAGCAGAATAGAAAGGAAACGCTATCGGCACCGGCATTCGCTATAATGATCAAAATAAATCGTTATAACCAATGAATAGAATAAAAGGATTCTTGTGACTGAGAGAAGTAATGCCATCAGCGCCGATTCCCAGTTCTTTTGGGGATATTTCGAGCAAAACAGGAGTATTGTGGTGTGGAAATGTTCTAACTTTTCATTGTCCCTTGGATTCTGTGTAGGTGTTTATACCGTTGCAATTGTATCTGAGGGTAGGCAGAATTTTCCATTGCGTGAAAGATGATGTAGAGAAGGGCTTTGTGCCTAAGCAAGGCAGCAAAATTAACCATGCGTCTCTATCTGAAGGGAACCTCCCAGAAGTTCGGCATGTATTTGCAAGGGTTGTGTTTGACACTGTCTTCCCGTTAAAGTAACACTTGGCATCGGCTGCGTACAAACTGAGTTATGGTAGAAAGCTAAAGAAAATTCCGTGTACGATGGCAGAAAAATCTGTGTACAATGACCTACATATGTAGATCAATAAGCTGTCTGGAAGCTGAGTTTTGTTTCATTGACATCAATTTTTTTTTTAAAAAAAATATTCTTTTCCATCATGTTGGTTTGGTGGGTTGTTGAGGAAATCCCTTGTAGCTTTATCCACTTGCAGCTGGATCAGGCACAGGAGCTGGAGCACTACCACCGGTAGTAGGCCTAGGAAAGCATAAATAGGGGATGAGGAAGACATCAGATGGAAACCGATGCTCTAAAACATGTAAGTATTTATCACAAAACAGTAATTATTTGATTTTGTTTGTTGTTTCCTTTCAGATGAGGTTTGATAATTTATGTTAAAGTTTTGAAGCTTGGGCAAGGAAGACTTACAGGCCAGCGAAAACCTTAACAGCATCGTAGATAACCCATTGGGCTCCAGTGAGTGTTCCTACCATGAGAATGCGAAGAGGGAGGCCACGAGTAAACAGACCCCATAGCCCTAGCTTCTTTACTGCCTGTAACACATGAAATTGGAAAACTGTGTCAAAAGCAGCTGATATAAGAAGCACAAGACTGAACTTAAGCTAGATGCTCATGAAATACATGCTTAGTTTAACTTATCCCAAAATGGTTTTGTCCCAGATGCTTGGTTCACCTTATGAACAGATTGGTCTCACCTTGACCTGGCTGCTCGCAAGCTGTGTTCTTGGTTCAAATCGAGAGTGGAAGAGTCTAAGACTAAGATGTGCTGTTGGAAGTTAAAGTGGGCTTGGAGTTTAACTTACATCTGTAATGGTTGTTCCTTTGGAATTGTTGAGGAAGGAGACCAAGTTATCCGCTGGGTGTGAGACAACAGCACAGAAAATCCCAGCAATGTATCCTCCGGTAAAGCTAACCCCGAGCTGTACTGGCTTTGAACATTGCTCTTTTGGAGTAGTTATGGCATTCTTGTATATGAGCTCCACCGTGTTTTCAAAAGTAGCAAATTTCATCATGGTATCTGCAACAAGTCAGTATCCATCAGGCAAGAAACAATGGATGAATGGCACATGAATGTAATAATGAGAATGGTCCGGATTTGATTCTAATGTTTTGCTTGCTGAGATTTTCAGGGAGTCAAGTCTACCCAGTTATTTCGTTTAGAACCGTCAACATCAACTTCAAAGTTTTCAGCTTTTTCGAGATGAGATTTGAGTTAGAGACTTACAAGGAATCTGACGTCCCCAGAGAGGAACAAGCCCTTTGTACAACCTGCATTGATCATCAAGAAGATGAGCATAAGATTCTAAGCTGAAGACAGATCAGCTTTTTCTTCGGACAAGAAAGTCTGGATCTTTTCATTACCCAAGAGCACCTTCCGATCTGACAATCTTTGGTAAACCATCGGATAAGCCGCGAGCAAAACCAGGTTGGGTCTGAACCCTGACTTTGACAGCTTCCATCGGACAAAGAGCAACATCGGCAATAATCTCGGAAGAGGCTGATCCGGCAAGATAAATCAGCGTCTTGTGCTTGGCTGCGTATTCTGGTCCTGCAATATCTGAGTAATATTTCTTGAAGAACTCGTATAAACCATACTTGAACGCTCCCTGAGCGCTGTAGCCAAGGAGAGTCGGAGCCCATCCTCTGGTAAAACCCTTCATCCCTTGTTCCTTGAGTGTTGTACTGAATGCTGATGGTATGTTCTTGTACTTTGAAGGATCAATCTGGAAACAGCCCACAACCAAAAAAAAGGAGTGTTGAATCATCATTTCAATGGCTATTTTTGATTTCGGTATAGAATTTTCGGAAATTTGTTTCATTCACCTGCATGTTGCATTTGATGACATCCAGGGGCGTAACTGCAGCATGTGTGAGGCCGCAGCTGAGTATTCCGCCGACCGTACAGGCGGCGTAATACGCCGGAGAGTACATCTCGATCCTCTCTTTCGGTGCCGGGATCGCGAAACTTGGAGCGTCCGATGAATATGACGGCGGTGGTCTCCGCCGCATGTTTGCTGTCGGCTCCGACTGCGACGGAGGATCTGAAGAGTACAGGAAGCTCGGGATCACCGATCTGTTGTGATTGTTTGATACAGGCATTGCTGGAGATGAACAGAATCTCACGAAGAAGAGGAACGTGTTTGGAAGACGAGAAAGTGGCTGCTGAATTTTCCCGGAATCGTTTTCTGATTTGTCTGTTTGGCGCGAATTAGTCTTATATATATATATATACATGCATATCGAGTCTCCTTGAAATGACGTAATTGCCCTCTGAATTCGTTGGCTTCCCCATGTTGTGCGTCAAGAAAGTAATTCGTCATGCCGTTCATTTGTACGTAGTGTCTAGTGAGACAGAGAAGGGTATTTTCGTAATTACAGTGAGATGCCACGTGGGAGGTTCCTTTGACGTAAGCGGTAACGCAACCTTAGACGTAACGTAACCTGCACGAATGCTTTTTTATTACCTTTATTTTACATCGCCGTCTTCATTTACCACAGAACCATTCAAATGAAGAGTATTACATATATATATATATATATATATATATACACACGTGTGGAAATTTCGAAAGCAAAAGAATATTATTGTGTATTGAATTTATATTTTATACATAACAAACTTATTTTATTATGCATAGACTATAGAACATACCATGTATTTGATACTCATACACTTTCAGATACATATACTATGGTTTTAGTAATCGTTTGAAATTGGCCATTCACGCGAAGAGGGTCATATTCTTAAGCTAATTAATGTTCATGTTAATTTCATTTTTCTTTCATCAACAATTGTTACATATAAATGCGAAAACGCGTAATTTTAAAAAATGTCTAACGTAGAAGCTGAATTTTCCACCACCTTAGAATAGACTGTAGTTGATGGTATTTATGATACCCATGTGGCATGGTTGGAATTTCGTTACACTAACTCTATTATTATACTTTAACATCTAAGTTTTGTTTTCGTCTGCTCAAATTTTATCACGCATTTGGAATTTAAACTCTCATACACACACATGAGAACCTCTAAAATAAATATCAGATTTCAAAACAAAAATAAAAATATTATAATTATGAAAAAATAAATTTCAAGATATCATGATGATGTATGTAAAGTGCAACATACTTTTGTCCCCAAACTTTTTTAAAAGTTTTTTTTTATCCGTGGAGAAGCCATCACACGGTCGACCGGATCTCGACCGACTCCGCAGAGCGGACATTGTCTCTAACAATAAACATCCGATTCCGCGCAATAGTCGATAAACCATGAAGAACAGATAAACCAATCGAAGCTTACTGACTCTCAGAAAGATCAACCTATAGTTACGTGGACTTTTTCTTTTTAAAAAAGTAATTTATTCTAAAATTCGATTGAATGCACATTATAAAATAGTATTATACTTTTTAAAATATGTTAGTATATGCTACAAAGATATCACCAACTATTAAGATTCCGCATAAAATGTGGAGTTATATAGTTATGATTTGATTGTCTTGAATTTACATAAAATAAATAAAGAAGAAACTTATAAATAATGCATGGACCTGTAGGGTCCCACCATTTTCCTCCCCGCAAAGATCGCATGCGTTTAATCTCCGGAACAAACGGCGTCGTTTAGAAGTCTCCTTTATTTCTTTCGGATTTCTTTCTCGCCAAATCTCGCTGAATTAATTTTTTCTTTACTTTGCTGATTTTCTCGGGAAAATCCAAGCTTCTTCCAGCGAGAATATTCTCTCCCCACCGATTTACCTCCCTCCGTCGCTGTTGCTGCGATAGACTTCACATCTCGGCTCACGAGCATCTCTCCGACCACTGCCGATGGATCGGAGGAGGGCGGGGAGCCCAGTGTACGGACGGCAGTGGAGCGGCGGATCGAACAGTACGGACTCGACATCGCCGGCGATGTCTCCGGCTCACCGGAAGCAGCTCGGAGGTGTCGGAGGTTTCTCCACCGTCAAACGGACTCAGAACGTGGCTGCCAAAGCGGCGGCGCAGCGGTTAGCTCAGGTCATGGCCTTGCAGAACAAGGACAACGAGGAGGACGAGGATGAGGAAGAGGACGAAGATCTAGGTTTTAGATTTGCAGCTCCTCTGAAGCCAGGACTTCATGCTCCTTCTGCTCACTCCTCCACCGGCAGCAACAACATCAACGGAGCCAGTAATTTGTCGGCGGGTTCTTTTCCTC